AAATTCATGAATAATAATGTAAATATGTACGATATCTGCGAGAAGTGTATTACAATAACTAAAACATATTACAGTCTAGTTTAAAATTAAGTTCATTAATCGATGCTTGGTGTTAGAAATATCAATTTAGCTTTCAATACATTTCAAAAGAATTTTAATATTAGAAACTATTATATAAAGTTTTTTCTCAAAAATTTTAAATCCTGTCGACACTGTTATTAATCAGTTATTATTATGCAGTTAAATTCTCATTTATTTATATACTAATCATACTTTTATTATTTTAGTCAAATTTTATACAACAGTATGCCATGATATATAGCATTCGTGCGTAAGGGTCCCACTTCAACCTACCATAACATGATGTATACACAAATAATAGGTTAGTTGGTATTGAATTAAATTGCGAAACGCAAAGGAATAAGAAGCAACAATTTAAATGCAAAAGCTATGCGCAAAAACAACAACAATATAGTATTTGTAACAACAACGATGTTGTTTTGTGAGTTATAAAAGTTCGCTTGTAGTTGCAGAAATTATTAAGGTGTTTATTGCGGATCTACCTATTGCAATTGAATTATTAAAAATTGAAAGTTTTGTTAAATAGTTATTGAAGGATATATTAGTAGCAAAATCCATTTAGAAACTGCATACTCAACAATTAGTTTAATTATTTTTTGCATGGAGTTACGGATTTTAAAAATTTTTTTAAAACTTGTAATAAATTTAATAATAAATTAAAAATAAATAACTAAGTAATTAAGAAATATAATTGACAATAACCTAAAATTTAGTTGGGAAATAATTTTAAAATCCAACTAATAATTTAGTTGGATTTTTGCAACTAAATTTTAAAAAATCCAAGAATTCATTATAAGTTATATCATAACTTGCATGAAAAGATACATACAATATATTCAAATTTCAATTCAAACAGCAAGATTACTACTTAAAGAAATTACTTGTTTCGAAACTTGATCTGTATCGATTCCCAGCAAATGCTAATAAGTACTTTCTAACTTGTATTGCTCTAAATACAGAAATCTACATCAATGCGATAAGATAAAAACAACACAATATGATTATTTCTTTGATTGAAACGTATTTCGTCTAGTTGTTTGCAAAATATTTAATAGTATTTGAATTGTGAAACTAAGAGATTCGATTATTTTTTAATATTCATACATTATACAATCGTTTGAATATTTTACTACAGAAAAATCACTTATTTTTTTTTATTGGATTGAAGTGGGAGAACATCAATAATTAAAATATGATAATTTAATACAGTTAACCAATTAAATGTTTGCAAATATGTGCTAATTATATATTGCGGAAATGAAAAAATGATCACTTTTTAATAAAAAGATACATTTTGTAGTAAAAATTAAGTGAAGCAATATTAGAATTTATTCATACTCAAATATTTATTTTTGCGAAACGTTTTTACACATTGTATCTTACATAATTAAGTTATTTATTTGCACATTCTTTTCGAGTTCCAAACTACGATTTAAAAAAACTAAAGCTATTAAAAGTAGCTCTAATATATGTAAAGTATACTTAATTTAAAGTAAACTTATAGCACGATTTAAAAATAAAATAAAAAAAGTATTAAGATATTTTACGAGGAATGTATAAAAAGTTTTGCAACCAACATACAATAAAAACAAATATTTGTCATATATTTAATTTTTATTTTTTAATATTAACTCAAGTTACTTTTTCCAACAATGATTGACCTAGAATGGCTCGAACAATAATGAAGAAATAACACTAAAAATTTTAGTTAATTTATTGAAATTTAACTGACAACGCTGTTTCGAGTATTACCAAATACTCATGATCAATGGTCTTAGAATATATTCGAAATTTTATTTAATTAATTAATAGTTCGTATATAATTTTTATTTTTTTTTAGGCCTTATGCTTCACTGGGAGTTAACAGAACAAAAAAGAAGAAGATACAATTTATTGGACTGCAAGTTCCAGGCTTAGAATTCGTGTCTGTCAAATTTTTTAAACACTCTAAATTATGTACCGCATGAAGGTCTTTAAAATATCAAATTATAGTGTAGGCCACCACTTAATTTGACAGAAATTCATTTCATTTAAGCCAAATTTATAATTTAAAAAAAAATTATCACTAAGGTTATATTTGGCGAACAAATAGGATTCATTTAAAAATGCAATTCCAAAATTTTAGATAATGCATACTGCCAAAGTATGATCCCAGTATATTATCCTACTAAAAAGTAATTTTTTTTTGTTGGATATAGTAATAAGAAATAAATATAATGTCTTGTTAATCTTGTGTTTTAACCAGGTTTTGTGTGTTTGTTAAGATAATGAATCAGTAACATGGACTTGTCAATCCCGGAAATAAAATCTATGACATTTCCATGTTATTCTTATTAATAATAAGAAAATCTATTTTTTTTATGTTTATATTCATAATAAAGTTATTTTGTATATTTTTTAATATACAATGACATATATATAAAATAATACGAAATAATGCTAATAGTAGTTTTTTTATAAACTTTTTGTTCATGCTTATATATCGTTAGCTATTGAGGTTGGAGGTGAGAATGGCAGTATATATAACATGGAATAAGTTGAATCTAAAATATCAGTTTGTAAAACAACTATATCCAAATCTTTATTTTGAATATTCTTTTCTACAGTAGTTGCGTTCTTAATTGGAACCGAAAATATTAAAAAATTAAGAATTTTTGTCTAAGCAAAATTTGTCACTAAATTGCAGATTTCTATTCAAGTTACATTTAATCTGAATCGATCAATCCCATTTTCATTCCACAGATTGCCTTCTATAAGCTATGCATGAGTTCTAAATTTAAAGTACATACATTAGGTAATACAAATTTTTTTCGTACAAAATCAATCGGCAGCTTGTATGGCGTCTATAATTTAATCTTAATCGAAATAAATAAAATTTTGTACATTCTATAATACAAATATAGGTATATTTCGCACCAAATTTTGTTTAAATATCTTTATTATAAGCGATGAAAACTTATATCTAATTATTTACTTTTTAAGACAGCTATGATATAAATGGGTCAGATTTCAGTCAATTCGAGAAATGATGAAGGATGATTTTAAGGAGGATGATCCACTCCTAAAAACTATGTATGTAAAGTTGATCCATACGGATTAGGTGAATTGGACTCAATTCATCGAGCTTACCACGAATATATATACTTTGTGGAATATAATTTTCCTTCATTGCGTTACAAAAATTTTGACAAATCTAAAATATATAAAATTCACGGATATATAAAGTTCACGTACTTTGGAACAATGTTTATATACTAGTGTTTAAGTGTTTACTGTTTAAGTATTTTTCACTTTTATAGGAACGTACATAATATTTATTCTTGCAGTGCGATGTATGAACGTGCTTTAAGTCTAATCAAAAAACAATACTTTTAGACACTTTAGTCAACTTATACATATCATTTTTTCTTAACTTGAAAAATCATTTTACAGAAAACTCTAAATTTTAATTAACTTTTTTCCAAGGAATTTCAAAATTATAGTTAAGATAACTTTTCTAACAAAAATGAACTGACTTCAACTTAAGATACTATGTTATGATCAGTTTCTTGTTCAAATTGTTATCATAAACTATAACTTACTTCTGCCAGGAAATATAGAATTTATTAACGTTAAAAAATTTTTTGAGTCTTAAAAAATGTTAGTTTCGCTGCCATACCGACATAATTTACTATTTTCCTCAATTTACCATCAATTTTTCGAACTCGCACACGACCGTAGTAAAAATAATTAAATTTTTAAAGTAGAAATATAAAGAGATTTTTCGAACAGTAGTGAACTACAATAACAAAAATTTTATTTTTTATATTATTTTAATTAATTGAACTTTTGGCTGACCATACAGCTGTTTCGAGTATTGCCAAATACCCATCATCAGTGGTTTTGGAAATAATTCCTGTATTTATTTATTCGTAAATAATTATTTTTTGACACTGCAAGTACCAGGAATCGAACTCGGGTCCTGCCAAATGTGAAGCTTAGAATCAGCGCACCTTAACCAACTGATCCAAAGCCGTACTTAACTTTTTTTTTTGTTTTGTTCGCATATTTTTCTGGAGTTTTGTTACTTTTGTTGTGAAAGTTTTTATTAACAATTTTACTTGCTGTGTTTATATTAGAACGAAATCATAAACCAGCTGTAGAATAATTGAATTAATTATTATTTTTATTTTTAATTGTTAAATTTCAATACTATTCTTTTCGTAGAAAAATAATATATTTTTTTCAATAATAATTTAATATTTTTTAATAGGTAAAATTGCAGATTTTTTTTAAATGATCATCTTAAAGCATTTATCATAGAATCAACAAAATATAATTGCCGTGCAACATCTGCATAAAGAAAAAACAATGTTTTCAAACACCTCATGTAGTTTTTAGTCATATAATACTGTAATATACATAATATTTAAAAAATAAAATATTCACTTAATATAAATCCGGTAAATATTTACAAACATTTATTTTTGTTCGAATTTATATATAATATTTTGGACCAGTTTATGACAAAATTATTTTGCAATTATTAAGAATTATTTAAAGTCACTAACGTTTGTGATTTTTTTGCGAAGTATTTTTATAGAGTTTTAGCACGGAACTTTGTTTTTTTTTATTATTTATTTTTTTATTAATTAATAACAATTTAAAATTTAAATGAAATAAAGTTCAAATGCTTTTCGTTTTTTTTATAATGATATAAGAAATTAATTATTACTTATTTTTAATACCATAATAATTGTAAAGTTCATCAGTTTTATTTATTTAGATTTAATTAGCACATTTTTGGTTTTATAATTTTTGTTTTACTTTAAATTTAATTCATAAAGATTTTGAAAACATTTTTATTTAGTAATTGAGTCAATATAAAAAAAAACAATTATTTACTTTTAAGCTGCCTTGCTCTAATTTAAAAAACAAACCTCAAAAAGATTTTTTTATTTACTCTAATTATAATTTAAACAAAAAAATGTTTTTAATATTTCTTTAATTTTATTTGAAACATGTATCTTTTATTTTATTTCAAAAATTATTTTTTTTGTTATTTTGCCCGACGATCGGAGGCAAAAGCTCGCTTGATCCTTCACGTTCGAATTATTCACGGCGACTGTTTTGATTAACAATAAGACAAAACGTTTTAACGCGCTCGTATCTTGTGGCGGCTTTTGTTGCTGTGAGACAATAAAACTTCAATAGCTGAAATATCAAACTCAACAAGTTAAGTTACCGCTAAACAAGCTTCATTCATAAAACAATTCACAAAAGATAGTTGTTGCTGTTGTTTTTTGCCGAATTGTTTAATTGTGCATGTGACGTAGCAGATACTCGTACTTTTGACGTGTAACATTAGCAAGAGTTGATATGATGATGACTAAAAAGATAATCTGAATATTAAATGAGCTATTTACTTGCTATTAAAATACGTTTTATTGTTTATTTTATTAATTTAATTTGATTTACATAAATTAAATAATTAAGAAACAAACTGAAAATAAAACACATTTTAAGTTTTGCTCACATGAGCGTTCAATGAAACTTGTTTGAAATTTTTGCAATTGCCTTCAGTTAAGTAAGAAATTGTGATAATGAAATTTTACCTCAATGTTCACGATGTCGCTGGATCTGGTCGGTGGGGGCTTTGTGTGTAATTAAAGTCAGTTACTATGATTTAAAAGCTTAACTATTACTACTTTTACTGTAATGCTCGAAACATTTTCATTATTAATTTTATTTCTGCTTAAATAAATAAACAGACAATGATAATAAAATATAAAAGATATTAAATAAATTTTAATTAAAAAGATTTTTGTTTTTGTTCCATTCATAACTGCTCATAAATATTATACAAAGTTAAAGACGCATAAATTTAACAGCTAACATTATAGATGAAACAAGAAAAAAGTTAGTTTTATCTTTACTGAAGGTTTAATACCCTTCATACACATACTTATGGCCCAATGTTTCCCTGGGAACTTACTGGGTTGATTGATTGATTGATACACGTAGTTAAACAAAAAAATATGTTCATATAATATGAAATTTAAAAAATAAAACATACAACACATACTCAAACCTTTTAAATTAACTATACTACAACCATTACTACCATCAACTATACCTATACCATTACACGTTGTCCATTATCTAACGATACCAACCTTCAATATACACATCATCTTATAACAGATGACATGCTCCCAGATATTTGCTGCTAATTAATGTGATGAAAAAAAATGCATAGTACACTGCGACCTAAAAGATCTATTGAGCCACTTAGTCCATATCATTACATACCATTACAATTTGTATCTTATCTTATGGTAACAATCTTCAATATACTAATCATCTTGTATACTAATCAACAGATGACATGCTCCCAAATATTTGCTTCTAATAAATATGACGAAAAAAAAAGGAAATAGTACACTGTGACCTAATAGATCTTTTGTGACCTTTAGTTGGATTAAAGTGTTTCTCTAAGTCCGATTAATAAAATATAGGGCCTATCTTTCCTAGTTTTGAACTCCTATGTTCCATATAACACCCTCCTAGGTGTTTCTTCCTCTTGTGCATCAGTACCGGATACTCGCCTACAGTCTGACAGTCTGAGTTGGCTTCCTAACTTTGTTTGGTGATTATTTAATTTGATTTTAAGAATAGTTTAACATAGAATTCTCTTTTGATTGCATAAAGACAAAATATAATACTTTAAAGAATGAATCTTTAAGAGAACCCTGTTTTGAAAAAGAAAACGGAGAATTTTAGACAGACTTACACGTTTTTATTTATTTACTTATACCAAGTTTACTGAAGGCATGAAATTTGTGTCCCCTAAAATATAATCTTTTTACTAACCTTTTGATACCACAATGGGCTGGATATACCAAAAATTCATATATATTATTTCTTTTTTTTCGGAAATGGATATTTTTGAGAGGATTACATTCAACCATGGCTACTTTCCTAAGGAAAATAAGTACTGTGTTCTTATTTTTATTTAAGGAACATTTTTTTTTAATAATATTGTGCAAAATTAGTACCATTGAGCAAACTACTCCTGTCTATATGGATACCAACACCATCTACTGATAAAAAACGGCACAGGTAGCTTTTATATTACCTAATATATAAATCGACTTATTTCAGTTTTCACTTTTTTAAAAAAAAATCTTGCCATAGGTCTTAGATTATCCGACACTTAGAAAAATAATATGGTTGATTTAACCAGACTTTAACTAAATCTCAGGTCAAAATATTCTTATTCGACGCATCATGTTGGTTCAATCATACCTTCTTTACCACATGAGCTAAATTTTTTCTAACAAAATGATCAGGTCAATTTAGCTGGTATGTGGTTAGAACACAATTTTCTAAGTGTTGGGATCTTACAAGATCTATTAGCCATCAAATTTCACCAATAAAAGATACCCAGACTTCATCAAATAAGAAGGCCAATTAGTATGTACTTCCTATTGATCGTATTAGCTGCAGTTTTGTGCATAACGTCGGTGGGACATTGTTTACCTACAAGACGAGCTTGGCAAAGATCGTTTTGTCGCAGATGTAATGAACGCTGAACGATGCACTTAATTAATCCCTTTAATTAAAAAGTGCGAAAAAGTTGTAGTTAATTGATTGATAATATTTTGTGTGCTTTACTTAATTAATTTAACTGTTTCAAGATTTTGTAAATACAAAATAGGTTGAAAAATCAATGTTAATGAAAGACTGCTTCATAATCTCCAGATTAAATTCATATATATTATACATTGTTCCATTAATCCATTACTAGTATTATAGAGAACATATTTAATTAAATTTAATTCCTTTCTATATTTTCATATATTTAATTTCAGCTCTAATAAGTGTGTGAGTCTTTGATATATGATGACAAATATCGTTAAAATTTGTTTCCGCAGGATTATTGCAATATTAACATTTGTAACAAAAGATAATAAAAGTTTTTATTATAAAAACACTTACATTTCGAAATAAAAATCTGACTGTTCACTTATACGATATATACAATATTTTAGTATAGCTAAAAAAAAAATTTTATTGCATTTTATATTTGAAAACAAATGAAATAATCTTGTCTAATAATTATCGTAAAATTTTGACAAATGCAATTGCAGATAAGATTCGTTAAGTCTCAACTCTCTTAACAAAACTTATGTTAACTAAAGATAATTCAAGCAAATTAAAAATACAGACATACAACAATTTATATGCCTCAGAGATGGGAAACTTTTGAAGAAATATGACCTATGTGACTCTAAAACAATGCATTTAAAATAAAATTTTCTGCTTAACAAAAACTGAAAGTGATTTTTCAAATTATATGATTATTAACAATAGCAATTATTAAAAGTTTGTGGTATATCACAAACATTAATAACTAATTAAATAAAAATTATTTTCTAAAAATGCTAATAAAGCTAGACTTTATGGGAGAAAAACCTAACAAATAAATTAATTACAATAAAATATTATTAACAATTTTTTATCGTAATTGAAATATAGTGAAAAAATAATGACAGCCCTATTTTAAACCACTAAGTGTAGGAAGATATGATAAGACACTAATTACAGATAACTAATCACTGTATGTTTAATAGTAATATTAAACATACAGCTCTTTTGTTTTTAATAAATCGAAAAAATTAAACATAGATTTGATTTTAATTTAAATCTATGATCTCAAAATTTTCATTTATTTGATATATACATAATTCTTTGAATATTCAAATGTATCTAAATCTTAGCCATAGCGATATTTATTATGAACTGAGCAATAGTTATTAATTCGGTGTTGTCTGTACTGGCAAGGTCTGCCAAATTTTAATTTTCTTAAAAACCTCTTTTAAGTACGTTCAATCGAAATCTGTTTTATACTGCAAATCCATCAAATTTTTATATTAAATTCTTTTATAATTTTTATATTAACTAAATCATCATCATCCATAGCTATACAGTTCATGTAGGATAAGCTTGTTTTACAAGATTCGTC